GGTCACAGCTTGTAGAAACTCTCAAATTTACGTGGATCTACTCCCAACTGTCAGTTGCGCGTCGTAACGCAACCTCCATAAAGCGCGCCAACTGTCGCATTGACAGTACGGATCTTACCAACATTATTTGCATTCATATGTGAGAAGTATTATCTCCCATGCTTTTATGATCAATGCGTCTTATAAAATATCAAACTATCTGAGTAACCCGTCACAGTGAAGACTGTATGTTCTGTGGCAATTTAATCTTGCCTATAAACTGACATGTCTTATGTAACAGACAGTTATTTGAAAATAAATTTTTAGTATTATCATCAAAAGAGATGTGTTGCACAAGAATGACCACGCCTAAAAGGCTGTGTCATTCCGTCTCATTCAATGTCGGGTGAGTGTTCCCGCGTTCACTATTGTTTGCATTTTCTCCGCGTTATATATTAAATATCTATTTTCTTAGTTGTCTCAATCTCAGCTCTGAGGATTGTGTGGTTAAAATCAAAACAATTACACTACTCCCCCACCAGAATCAACGCGAGGTTGGTTCAATACCAACGCGCGCCGGAGGTTACCAAGAATTATAAGAATCCTCTGGGAATCGAAGAAATGAGAGATAATTCGAAAAAAGGCGACAGCAACTGATCGAAAAACACATGTTATAATTTCGAAGTGTTTGGGTTAATTCCTAACACGCGCAAAACGGAAATTTAGATGAACATTATTTAAGGGTTAAATGAAGTTGGATTATAATAATTGAAAACAGTTTACAACAGAGATATATTACCAAGTCACATCAAAATGTTTAGAAATCACCGTTGGTTAGTTGTTTGACTTATATGCAGTATAAATATTTTGTGTTTAGAAATAGAAAAGCAGTCAACATTGAAAAAAATGATATTGTTATTATCTTTGGCTTAAATTAGAAAGCCGATTAACGTTCATTTCAGTGTGTTGACCATATTAATCGATTTGCGATTGCATCTTCAATTGTAGGCTAACTGAAAAAAGTATAGAAGCGGAAAGAAAGAATTCCAACTAGCAAGGTAGATCACTCGACAAAAACTTCTCATATTACGGTTCCCAGAAAAATACCACTTTGTATATCATTATCCCTCCTATTTGTAAAAGATACTTATAGTTTATATGGACCGTAAGTTGCTTGAATCCGTGACATTATTTTAAACACTGATATTTTCGGATAAATTTTGCAGCCACGCAACTGCCGGTGATTTTCGATCATGGCTCGGCAATAATGACTGTTCACAGATATCTACTGTTGAGGCGTAATAGCTGTCTGGTATATGTGATTCACAAGCCTGTGATAGAGTACGCAATAAGAGGTTGTTTCAAAAAATTGCAACAGGTTCATACATGCCCAGTATGCGGGTAGTTACTCGTAATAGGTATTATCTCTGAATACTTCTAATAAATATCCCGACAATATAACTATTTGGTTAGCAATACATGGTACTCCGAGGGTATATTCCACAACTAATGACACACACTATCCTTTAATGAAATTTCACAATCTACGGTACGCTTCAAGACGCTATCACATCCTCGAGACACCACGACTCAGTAGGCCAATGTTCATTAATACAATACACCACGCTGCTTACTAAATGGGACTTCTCACGACCAATAGTAAACTAACACTTTAATGAGAAAAACTCACTAAGATTGCCTGGTGATAGTCTACCATCGCAAGGACACAAACGTAGTGATAGAATTATACGGCAGGCTACTCGTAAACTCCTCAACCTATGTGAGAATTTCAATAGTCGAATGCACATATAGTGCGATTGGTACTTATTAGTCTGGATCGCTTGTAGTATGTGGTGAGTACATGAGTAACCGAGTGTATTGACGAAATCAACAACATTATACACAGAAATTCAACGATATTTACATTTTTCAACTGCTACTTCGTGCAGCACCACAACCGATAGTGCAGTTTGCATTATAACACGAACTTAATCAATACTAGTGACTAGTTCTACATCGACTGTAAAAACACCTTATTTTTATATTTTGAAAAAAAGAACTAAAGAAGGCATGAAACGTTTAATGATCACAAATTAAAGGTGCAAAGCAGTAGGTAATGATCAAAATGTACATGTTGGAGTGATATTAGGACATAAATACTGAACAGAAAAAACCAAACATTTATTATTATGTGAGTGATGACCAATAACTACTGGTTTAAAAAAATGCTAAAATATACAATCAAAATATGTTGACTTTTTAAAGCCTTTTAGTATACAACCCGAATCTATGTCTTTAACCACTCAGTCATTTTACATGTAACAGACTGGAACACATAATGAAAACGGATCTGAATATAATGAGCCGTTTACTCAATATTTGACCGTCCTAAATAAAAAGTAATGGTAACAAGAGCTGTATTTTCACAGCTGATGACAATTACAAGTCTTTACATTTTTTATTTTCCGGATTATGGAACTGGCAATAAATGGATCTATTATTTTCAGACCTTGTAGAAATTCAATTTTTTTCCTTTATATTCAGAATTTGGTTGAAAGTTTTTGTTCTCCATGGTTGAAATTTACTTTATGTACGCGGTACGCAGCATGGTATAAACATGAACCATTCTTTTAAAGTGGATGGGCTAGTATTTTTTGACTAGTTCACTTTTGCAGATACTCTGGCAGATACTTTCACTCTGGGTATATTTGAGTGACTTTTAACCTGGCCGTAAGCATGGATTGAGAAACGGCGTGTGCCCTATATGCCAGCAGCAGGAAAATATTTTCGTGGGCAATATCCTCAGTTGTGTGGGTGATTACTATGCTCCAGATGAAACCATCACCGTCTCATGTAGTTCCGATTTGACAGTCTTGATTATCGCGAAATGGACAACAGGGGGAAAACAGCAGATACATCAAATAGTTTAATAGGCGTGTTAATGAACACGGAACAAGAATAAACGGTGGTTGACACATCTTTGTTAAACTCCATGTATGCTTGATTAGGATCAACATTTCGAATGAAAATAATAAAGTTATTATGAAGATTAAAACAGCTCAGTAGTCACGTGCTGTCAGAGTATTAAGGGTCTGTTCAAAAGCTAAGATGAATCATGCGTGTGTTAGTACCAGTCACTACAGGACTCAGAAGACTATTTCATTAAAATTTACTGATACTTCCCTTTCGCCTATTAAATGTACCTAGGTACACACCTGTAGGCAACGGTTTTTCAGTAATACTATGTACGGAAAACCCATAATGAAAAGCTTCTTCAACGTTCACATCAACTTCAACTATTCGAACAAATCTGAATTACGATAATGCAATGAGAAGACGAAGTTTATCAAAATTATGTGATATATTCGTGCAGTACATTTCGAACAATCTGATCACACATGCTTGTCAAGAACATTTATATATGAAAATTAGAAGGTCAAACAGATAGGTTAAGGGTAAGCCGTAACAAAAGAAAAAATGTTAAAGTACACAAAAAAACGTGATTACCACCCTGGATAATAAAGCAATGTCACCAGGGAAGGTCAAATGTAAGGATAAATTGTTTCTGAACACATAAAGGGGGTTTTAATTTACGTATAGCCGAGGCTTCAGTGAACCTCAGTATACGTCTTTGAAGGCTTTTGCATAACACTAAAAATACTGATTTGGTGTCAACCTTACGATCCGTCTCAATCAAATGTTTCGCAATGGAGGATGATGTCTGTTTATCCTGTGATCCTATTTGACCAATGGAATCCATTTGTTTCTGCAGCCATTTTGGTATTTTGGAATTAGACCACGGTTTTTGGACCTTCTCACTATGACCTCGAAGATTATTGGTGCTCGAGAGAGCAGAAAAAGACTAACACTCAGGTAGTAATCAAAGGTATGGAATGCTAATATAAAGTCACCACGCATTCTGTAATACGACAAAGGGAAAAGGTTAAGGAGTTTTAAGCACTAGTTGTCAGGGGGTTCGGAAAGACCCTTCACTAATTTTGTTCCCACACGCTGAACACGCTCAAGTAAGTTAGTTTCCTTAGTTAGACATGGATTAACTTCTTGGACTCAGTACTATAATGCAGCCCTACACAAGTGGTGTATAAAGTTCGTAACATCTCGTCAAAGCATTTGAATACACGGCGAGGTGAGTTGGCCAGGTATGAATGCTTATTTCGAAACGTGTGTTGCGTGGGAGTTAACTGGTTGTATGATTCTAAGTAGTTTAGCTACTTAACCCGAGTTATCTTTTCAAGTAACTTAACTACTACGCTCGTCAAACTGACAGGTCGGTAGTTAGACACTCTATCTCTGATCATCTTTAAAGACTGACTATAGCGTCTTTCCAATCCCTAGGGAATTGAGTGTGAGAAAAAGATATGCTGAGGAAAATAACGAGCGATCCTGAGGCAAAGGAGGACAGCATTCTAAGATATAGCCCATCAGGGCCCGGTATCTTACCAGGTTTGAAATTATTGATCGACTGAAGAACATTTTCCTCAGTAACATGGATGGGCCCTATAGCTGGTGTTTTAGTAGTGTGATTACGACGAGTATTTTTAACAACACTCCTAGGTTAGAATTCAGAGAAGTAGTTCGATCGGGTTTCAGTTTTCGCCAGATTTAGTTCAGCTAATAAATCTGAATTTTTGTGTAACAGTAATGGAGGAATACCATCACCACACATTGTCCTTCGTTTGATATACAAAAACATCGTCCCGGGCAAGTACGGCTATCATATGCCAAATGTCTTTCGTAAATGAAACGTCATCTAGCTATGGTGTTTTTACATATATTCCGGATTTTTCAGTATTTACACTTAAATGATTCATGTCCCGTTGATAAGAATAAGTCTCAGAATCCTAGCAAATTTCACCTGTTTTCTTGTGTTTGTGCATGTATAAAATAGATTCGTTTGATAAGGTTGAACATCAGATGCCATGATGTAAAGACCTTGGAAACTTTCTGTTGGTCTTTTTAATCGATAAATATTGTAGCTTGAACCCTAAGGTCGCTCTTTCAAAGTTGGTGAGTAACATATAGAGTAATCTGTGTGGTCCGGAAATGGCTCTACTTAATTGATTCTCACTTCTATGAAACTGGTTTTTATGCATCTCATCAAAGTGTTTCTGTTGAGAAGTGTAAGTGTCTTCGTAAACACATAGACAATCTCACCAACAGCAGCACAATATTTTTAATTCAACCCATACGTATAGGTTGACTAACCTGCTTATTGTCGATAAGGTTATAGCCCTTTCTAAAGAAACAGTTTCCAGACGAAGGGCTTTTTGAAGCCTGCATTAAAATATGCTCCGAATATCATTACTCGAAATACATAATATATATGGAGTACCTATATTTTACACATGATACAGACGTCTGGTTACACTAGTTATTAGATTTCGTGGTAGCTTGTATATGATTGGTTCTTATGGAAGCACAAAATGAGCTACAGAGTGTCAATGAAACACTAGACTGGAGACTTAAGGGAAATATAATGACATTGTACTACGGTAGTTTTTTTAATAAGCAGGTTTGTATATAGTTGCTGCGTTATATTCTTTTGACATGGGTTTAAGAGTGTAGTTAAATTGAATTAACTGTAGAGGCGATACTAAGTTTCCTCCCTATGGTCAGCTTACCGAATGATTATACTTTCTCACTCCAGAAAAAGGGTTTGAAGATCGATTCTAAATTCTGCGCATATACGTCATTCTATTTGTAATCGCCTTCTACGTCCTTTGAGTTATCTTGATTTGGTAAGAGAAAAAAGAGGATACATCAGGTCCAAAATCACTTCTTAGTATTCTATACACCAAAACCAGATCACCTTAATCTACGGTAAAACACAGTAGAGCAGTCTAGTTTCTCAAGCCACTCTTTGTATGGTGAACCCGGAGTTCTAGAATTGCACGGATGACTACCCTATGTACGTTTACCTAGAAAACCGAGTCAATTTTTAAACAAAGGCTTGCAGCCTGAACGAAGTTTTCAAGATTAATTCTCACTAAGATTGTGTACACTGTAGTGAACATAGTAGTGTCAAACTTGATCAACGTTCATCTTAAAGCTTATAGTGATCTAAACTCCTCGGCTGCACCCTCACGGTAGTGGGCCGTGGTCTTAAGATCATGGCTCACTCGCACCACAAGATCATTATGATCATCATTCTTAAACTTTTCTCATCGTCTCAGTCCGATTTGGCGTCAGGCGTACAGGTGTGTAGCTGTCCCTCTTCTATAGTTTTCTAGGTTCTGCTGTAAACCAATCGTTAACTATTTTGTCTCTTAATCAAATGTAGAATGCTTAGGCTTTGCTCTTGCGTAGTCTGTTTTGCGTTGATATGGGGTTCTGTAGCTGAAAACGTCCACTCATATTTTAGTGCTCTCTGTAATTCGTTCCTTTTCAGCGTGGTTTTCCTTTTTCCTCGTAATCTCTGCTACATGTGTTTGTCATCTTTTACATTTTGGGTGTCCATCTTGATGGTTTCATTAAGATATAAAGCTGGACTTATGACGGCGCTCATTGCTTCCTCGAGATCTGACAGCTGCTCATCTGCTGGCAGCTGTTTATCCGAGGGAAGCTTTCTAACTGTGTTTAACAGCTCAATCGCCCCAAGAATCAACAGAGACTGTAGAGCAGCATGCCTTGAACAGCCAATATGATAGTGGCTTACAACAATTCTTGCATGCTGCCGATGCGAGATACCACTTGTTGAAGTTGTCACATTGCATTTCATCCTTGACTAGAAAGAAACATGTAAGTCTATCACAAAGCTATTTCGTTTGCGCCATTAAAATTGTTAAGCGAACTCACGAACAGAACAGCGAAAAGAATCTAGTTGACCGCGGAAAACGAAACAAAGAATGACGAAAACGAAAAGAAGACTTCTAGAATAATGGCGTTTCGAGAGCTCTAAAAGTGATAGACATAACACAGAACGCTATAACTTCTATGTTGCTGTGACTGAAAGTTTAACTTGAATAAGTGTAAAAGAAGGGTTTACACGTTAGGACACGATCAAAACTTAAAAATTTACTCGGCTACAAAGAAGAATCAACAATTTAGACCAACAAAAGTTTATAATAGTCCATATTCTAGTAGCAGTCAGATCTACTTGTATAGTGGCCTCCACTGTTTTACCTCCTTCCTTCATGCATTCTCAACACAATACCGTTATCTAATCGTTATATTTCTTAGCATCTGGGCTTTTTGTAAAGTTTTGCGGCAAGTTTCGCATGTCAAAATTACAGAATACTGAGCTATCAGTTGGTATTGTGTTTTCAAAAGACGCTACTCAAGTTTAGTTATCCGTTTAATCTTTTCTGCTTCAACCCAGGAACCGCAGAATTCTGTTTATTAGGCCATGTATCACTTCTATTGTTTACGAGCAAGTGATAATAACTGACTGTATGACCTAGGTTAGTTGGATACGGTTTAAACCAGTCGTCTTCCTGTTAAAATCTTAGTGTTTAAAGTAATTAAGACATCGCTACATAACCATAATGTCTTAGGACAGAAAACCTTAGACCTCCATATTATTATTTCCAGTAGTCTTTTGGTCTTTTTCGGTCAAATTCTTTCGTAAAAACTTTTCGATGTATATTTGCTGTTCATCTACTTATTCCTGACCACAATTCGGCTGGTACGACAAATAAGCTTAATCGAAAGCTGTCAAACCTTCATTTTAATTTTTGAAAAACATAAAATCCTGGGATGTTTAGTTTTGTTATGAGAATTAGTAGTATACATCTACATCTTGGTTTCCCTGGTGTATGATGAAGCTGGCCTTTGTTTATCGATTTTGGCATCATAGTTGAATTCTCTGAACTGATCCTAGTTTCTAAAAGGCCTACTGGAAACATGTTCTGGTTTAGATTATCAGCCACATGTGTATAATATTCAATGATATATTAGTAATACAACTCATTTTTGTGGTACAGAACCTATGTACTCGGTTTTGAGAGGGCTATTGATACTGCCCATCTACCCAGATCAATATAGTTTACTGAAGTTCATACTTGTGACTTTATGGTTAAAAGTTGGGTTCTTAAACTACTAAGCTTACCGCTCCAGTAGTACCACTACCTGAATATGTTAACCAGCTTATTGCAGATTTTTTGTCCAAAAATCTACCCAAGGTGCGGAATTGAAGTTCTACAGTTTGAAAATGGTCAGAGAGATAATTGTTACTCGTTAGCGTACGGGTACATAACCTACGATCATTAAGTTTCAAGTTCAGATATAAATTGGCTTACTTCTATTTCAATTGTTGGTTGGTATTCTTAGCTTACATAATAACAAGCATAACATACAACTTGTTAAATTATATAAATAATGTTGTGGGTTTCATCAATTTTCTACTCACTTCCTTACGTTCTCCTTAAATAATTAGAGCTATAGAAGTTCCACAAATCAAACTTTCATGCAACAATTAGATTTTAAATGGATGGAAATAAAATATCAGAGCTTCTTAGTAATTTCTTACATGCGGAATGTTATTTTAGGGATGGCGTGACATGATTTTTCTGTGTGTAACCTCAAGAAATGCTACTAATATACGCTTTTGTTATAGATCCTCGCTTTTACTAAGTCCCTAAATATTCACTTCTGTTTAGTTTGGGCACTTATTGTGACAAGTCTCAGTTAGACTATATCCACAATATTACTCATAAATGATTTCTTGTGATTAGGTTAACAAAACAGTCGAAATACTATTAGCTGATAATTACTGCACCGAGGATTTCAATGCAAGGAACAAATATTGCAACTTCATCCCTATCTCAAGCATCTCAACCACAATTATGGTCTCCTATCAATCCAATAACTCATCAAAAGACAATGACCCCTACACAAACTGTTTACAGTGCTGATGTTCTGGCTTCCACAGTACCATCATCACAACCACTAGCATGTTATTCACAACCTATTTCTCAACCCATTCAAGCAAGTCATATAAGCTCAGAACTACCAGCAGATGGACCTCTTGTGTCTGATTGTTATGCTGCTCTTTTGGGATTGGCTGAAACTTTTAGGACAATGAGCCCTCCTAATATGCGACTTGCCGTTCATTGTCTCAAAGCTATTCTTCAGTTCAAGCTTTCTGTCAATTTAGAAGCTCGCACACATTTACAACTTGGACGGCTACTGTTTCATTATAGCAAAAGTGATGAACAAACAAAATTTCACTTGGAAAAAGCTCGTACTTTGGGAGCACATCTAAAAGCTAGTGACGATTCTATCAAATTTGAAGCTGCTACATTGTTAGCTGAATTCTTTGAAAGAAAGGTAAGTGTTTCTTTCATTTTCACTATTAAAAATTCCTAATCCATATGCTTATATAAATTATACCATAGGTTTTTGTGCTCTTCTATGATGTCAAAAGAAATATTTTTATCTAACTACTGTTTTGTTTGAAAACAATATTTACCTAATTTTCATAATCTAATCTCAGTTAAAATGTCACAAAAGTATCAGCAAATAGTCTGCTTTATATTCTCAAACACGTCTATATTGAACCAAGAACATTGCGGTGTCTACACTGCTATGTTAGTTTTTATTCATAGGAAAAAAATCTATAGTTTACGAAACACCAGATGTAGATAATTTTTTGATTCATAGATGAGACGAGTTTGTTGATTGTTGACTTGGATAATCCCACATTTCACACTCCGAATCCCATTTCTGGAAGTAAAAGTTTTACTCATAAAGTTAAATCTTTATATTTATTGATTTGATTTGGTACAAAGGGGCACCGAATACATATGCACCACACAAGTCACTTGATTTGTGTGTGGGTTGTAGTACTGTCTGGGTACCCAGACCAAAGCAGGTGTTTTTCTTAAAGGGCCACATACGGAGCCTTCGACCTAAAAGTCTAATCCACAAGGCAGTGGAGTAACGTCACAAGATGCAGTCGGTAAGCAATCATTTTTCGTGCGCCATTTGTTCCCTCAGGATACTGGAGACCATGTGCACCATTGGTTTGGGATCAGGGTTTTCCAACTCCCCTAAGTGGACTCTCCATGTCCACCAACCGGGTTAAAGCGCCTGACATTTGCTTTTCGTTCTCTCAATTTCGCAAACAACACCCTTGCTGCAAGAAGTCAGTGAATAGGACTTCCCTGTCAGTGGCTGTATACCTGTGGTCATATGAGAGCATTTTAGTGCTGAATCTCTATTTCAAAAGCTTTATTTCCACATAACTTCTCTTGTTTCACAATTTTAGGGTAAACGATATGAAGCAACTTGTATTCTAAATGATGCCATCAGATTATCAAATAACAGTCCATATTGGCATTGTCGAATCTTATTGGAACTGGCAGTAAGTCTTAACTGTTAATGTGAAGTTTCCGTAAAATATTTCTTTAGACTATACATGAATCCATCTGCGTCTCCTCCCCGATTCGATTAATTTACTCATCCAGTGGATAGAAATTATAAATATCGTGATGATAATAATAACTAAATAAATTAAATCATCTATCAAGTACAGGTTTATGTACTCAGCTTTGTACCACACCGTTTGTATATGAGGGCTAATGATATTACCTAGATTCCCAAAATGAATTAGGTCAATTTGATCTCAAATTTACTAACTGTTAATTAAAATTCTATTGGTCTAATCAATAAGGTTGTGAATTTTTGTTGACCCCAGTATCTGGAACACCTGATACGTATGCGTAACCACCACCTACCTCGACGTTCATTGTTGATTGGTTTACAAGCAAGTTTGAAGAAAGTTAGGAGCGACCAAGTGAATATGCGGTATCAATCAATGAAATTATCGACTGTTGGTCTAAGCTATGTTGGTAGGCACATATTATTTCATTATAGTCCTCACAATAACCGGGATCAGTAACTGGAGACTTCGAGTGAACATCCAAAAGGACTCAGTTACGTTCACTGTTTATCTTTGTTCAGATATCAAGTTCCAGGATTTCTTCATGTTGTATCCTATTTCATTCTGTCTTTTCGAATCATATTCTCAATATTTAGCTTTTCTTATTGTCATTGCTCTCAAGATTATTTTGACTGATTTCCCACTCATCTATTTAATTTCATTTTGTTGCAATATTGTAATATGGCAACTGCAATCAATTCACATTTATATCAGGTCCCATGTTAATTATAACTGCTTGACTGTGGTAATTATGTTAATACTCAACTGATCTGACTTTAGATGACAACTACAACTACGAAGTTTTTATATATAAATTAAAGTTGGTCGATCAATGATTCATGTTATTTTTATTGTTATTTTTATAGCAAGCTCATATTGCTGAACGAGATGTGAATTCAGCTTGTGAAATTTTAGCAATGGGATCAGAATATGCACGTTTACATAATTCGGATTATACAAACGGTTTATTTCTATTAAGTAAATGCATGGTCAGTTGTTTATTATTTTCCTGTTTTTTCTTATTTTTTTTTGTCAGTGTGTTTGTGTGTGTGGGAGGGGAGGGGTTTGTAATAGTAGTTATATAATATTTAATAGTGTTTATCGTTAGAATTTGTTCAAGCTACTAAATGCAAGGAATTCTATGATTTTAGTAAAGTGATTAAACATACCCCTAAACATTTATTATTTATTTATTTGAACACATAAATATTGACACAAGGGGGCACCAAATATATATATATATATATATATATATATATATATATATATATATATATATATATATATGCGCCACACAAAACAATGAGAATGGGAAGAGAAAAAAGAGGGTAGGGTGCATATAAGGAAAGAAAAAAAAGAACAATAACGATCACAGTAGGGTCGCCACTGGCTTTTATTCTGAGCCATATTTGATAACGTCTCTAGCCACTGTGTCGCACCATCTCTAGGACCCCAGCCAGGGAGTCGTGAAGGACCAGCAGAAACCATCCCTTCGTAGCTTTCTTTCATACCACGACAACATGTCAGACACTGACCATCTCTCCACGTTTTCCAACCAGTCCCAGCGTCGGCAAATAATGCACGACGTGGAATTCCCTGGGACGACATTCGTAGACCATGTCCAAGCTACCGATGTCGATGTTTCAAGATGGTGACACCAATTGGATTATCGTCTCTACACCCGAACACTTAGAGATTAGCAATGAAGCAAAATACACATAGGCAAATGAGTATTTTCTGAAAGCAAAGATGTGTTTCACTGATTTCCAATGGAAAAAAGTACTACCAGTGTCGTTTCTTATGTAGTTTGCTGTAGAGAAATATTAGAAACCAGTGGCATTATGTAAAAAAAAACGTCAAGTGTCAGAATACTTATTTATAATAATATAACCAGTTCTTTTATGACAATTTTCTTTTTGATTTTTATGTACTTACAGTTACTTTTGGCAAGTAGACAACTCCCGGAAGTTACAGTCACATTAACCAATGTTAGTCGATTAATTGAACAATTCAAAGGAAATATGTATCATCGTGAGGCATTGCGTGTATTTTATCTTGTTCTACATGTTTCATTTTATCTTATTTCTGGTCAAGCAAAATCTGCCCATCCAATATTAAGACAACTACATCAAAGTATTCAACAATTTGCTGCTATGGATGAAGGTAATTTGTGTCTTTAGTTAAAATCACTTGTTTAACTGTAAATACCATAGAAGCTTTGACTACAAGTTTTACTTACTTACCAAGTACTGATTTCTATACTTAACTCCTAGTTACATTGTATATGAGGGATAGTAATTAGATTTAAAATCTATTACCTGCTAATTGGAAAACCAAAAGCTTTAATCATCAGACCAGGGTTATTAACAGTGAATTTAACACATTATGAGCATAAGTATTAATTGCCGTTATTTTGTGATATTTCCTACTATAGTTTATTTGATGGTTGTAATACTACTACTTAGTGTAGATACTATCAAATTCTCCTCCTCCTATTCAATGCATGTTCCTGTTCGCTGTCTAGTCTGTTATTAAGGTTTCATAGCTTCGCTTCAGTAAATCTTATAGCTCAAGCTGATAAAAAGTTGAGCGAACTTATGTCACTTGTCTTCAAATTATTGTTGTCAGTTAATAAATCGGTGAGCGATTGATCCCGATGTTTGATGCATGATTTCAGGTAAAAATGACATACAGATTGATTAGATCATGAACTGTAATCTAGGAAGATAGTTGAAATATATGTCACGCTTGACCATCCACTCCTTATCCCAACATGTAACTCTTGTTAATATGAGTAAGTTATAAATTCTAGTGGCGACCAGACAAAGGTATGACAAAACAATGTAAGGAAACAAAAAGTTATGAAATAGTATTGAACTAAATGATGAATACATTTGAACCACAGCGACTGATTTATAGCCATACCACATAAGGTCTTCAACCATTGATCACGATTATTGCATACGCCACAATCTGATATATGTATATGTATGTGTATCAACATGGGTCAGACCAGCAGTCACTGACTTCACAAACTGAAATCTTTTCTGAGTTTGGTTGACCCTGACATTTTCTTAAATCAATCCTCCTTTAAATAACAATACATACTGAAGTAGGTGGTAGTTTGAAATCTTTAACTTGTATCTCAGCCACTTTAACCAATGGAGATTCTCAGCCTTATCAACCAGTCTGGTATCTTAAGTTAGCATCCTACGTATAACCTAGGGGCTAGTCACTTAGCTGTAAAAAGAATTGATTATGATAGTTTATTTGGTTTATACCTTTTGCATCCGATATTTGTAACCTAAGCTACCGATATGAACGACAAATATTTGTCAGTGTTTTCCTCTAATGATCTATTCCTTCCTGTTTTATCCCTATCACTTTGTTAACGCAAAAGATTTACATTTTAAGATAATCATTAAAAGCTCTCTTAGTTAATTGAAAATTTATCATAAACAAATGATTTTTAATCACTGAGTCGTAAAAGCATTGAGCTTTCAATCTACAGGCCTCAGGTTCAAAACACACTGCACCTATTTCGCTTTAGAAAGCTGGGTAATATCATTAACCTTCACATAGATAGTATGGCCTCAAGATGAATGTGATGAACATGTCTTTCCTATTCCATCTTTGTGTCTATTAAAAATATTCATATATGGAATCAATGAAGTTATAACTCGATAATTCAACTATTTAGCATTCGACTGTTGACTTATAAAGTCTTTCCCGGTTTGTTTGCCCCCAAATGCCCTGGTACGGCCGAGAGTGGGGAGAGTCAGCTCTCCCTCTCGAAATGCTCTCACATGGCCATGCGTATATAGCCTCTGCCAGGGAAGTCCTACTCACTGCCTTCTCGTGGCGGGGGTGTTGTTTACAAAAATGAGAGGACGAAAAGCGAATGTCCGGCGCTTTAACCGGACCCCAAACCAATGGTGCACATGGGCTCCAGTACTCTGAAGGAACAAATGGCGTATGAACCAATCGTTGGTCACCGGCTACCATGGGACTGCATCTCCTTACGATGCTCCACTGCCTTGTGGGTCAGACGTTCAGGTCGAAGGCTCGAGGTGTGGTCCCCTAAGAAAACCACCTATTTCGGTTTGGGCACCCGAGCAGTATCACAGCCCTCACACAAATCAATTGAGATTTGTGTGGCGCATATGTATTTGGTGCCTCCGTGTACCAATATCTATGTGTTTAAATAAATAAATGTTTAGGTTTAGTGTAGGATGCCAATTTTTTCTACATTATTGGAGTTGTGTTAGCTTGTCTAAGTATATATTTTATCAGCCAACTTCTACTTAGATATCATCTTCCAAAAATAATATCTCTTCATTTTAATTTTCTTAACACAAATGTACTATCAGTATGGGGGTTTATGGAGGTTATGGTATTTGAACAGTTGAATTCACGAGTCATTCTAAGCTAGACCACTGTTGAAAACCTGGAAGTACTGGATAAATAAACTAGCATACGTCTTATACCCTCTTAGCACGCATTTTAGAATTATCATTTGAGTTATTTACTCATAATTCATTCTGTTAATACAAAGTTGTGTCAGGTTACTACACTGTAATTCTAAACTTGGTTGCATATTTATTATATGTTGAGGTGTATTCATTATTGATCGGCTCAGTATATTTCTTGTCTGCTAACCTTGACATATTAGCGCGAAGTGGATAAGAGAAGATTGTTTACCGAATGGATGATAGTCATCAGTAAAATTGTGTTAATACTATTATGTGGCGCTTGATTCGTTAGACAAAACTGTACTCTGATGTTATCTATTGAAGAAGAGTGCGCCTAATGAGTTTATTAACATCTTGGAGACTCAGTGCGTAAACACCTCAGGTAGACTAAGGGCATGCAACTATCTCTTAATTGTTCCAGTTCAGCAGTAGGGTTAAGTAAGTTTTCCCAATATCAATATTCACCATTTCCATCAATGACATCATAGAAACCGCTCTGCGTCAAGACCTGAACTAAGGATAGGGAGTGAAGTAGTCGAACGCGTTGACAACTTCACTTATCTTGGAAGTCTGATGAGCCCTGATGGGTTGGTGTCTGACGGAATCTCAGCACAGATCCGAAAAGCTCGTTTGGCCTTGGCCAACTTACGTCACCTATGGCGAAGGCGAGATATTCGTCTATCAATTAAGGAACGAGTGTACTGTGCAACAGTTCGTTCTGTTCTACTTTAAGACTGCGAAACGTGGCCATTAAGAGTAGAAGATACGCGTAAGTTACTAGTATTTGACCACAGATGCCTTAGAAATATTGCTGGTATCTGCTGGGATAACCGGGTAAGTAATTATGAGGTTAGACGCATGGTATTAGGGTATGATGGTAAAACAGTTGATGAGGTTATGAATCTTCATCGACTGAGATGGTTGGGCCACGTGTTGCGTATGCTTGAACACCGATTACCACGACGCGCAATGCTAACTGGTGTTAGGGATAATTGGAATGAAGTTAGGGGCGGCCAAACCGACACGTGGCATCAGTGCTTGAAGTCACTAACTTCTGGTCTGAGGTCCGCGTGACTATCGTAACCAATGGTTGGAGACTTGGTGACATGGCTCAGAGTCTATCACAGTGGCGTCGGTGTATACACTCTCTGTCTTCCTTTAAACTAAGAGATTAAAATCGCTTCATATCTTTCTTTCTACCAACTAATTCTTTCTTCCTGTATTATATCCATACACACAATCTTTCTTTTATATATTAGTACCTTTGAAGTGACTACTTCTATGAATCCGGTGTTCATCTTGTTGTGCTAATGTGGTATGGCAACTTGGACCGATGCATATTTGTGCCTGATCCTACGTTGCAGCTGACTGACTGACTGACTCTGGAGGAAGTACATGATGGTATAAATCTGCTACCTAGAGAAGGACCCTTCAACCTTGAAGCCACAGATAACACTGTCCTACCGTGCAATGATACCTAAAATATCCAAGTCGTACTTGATCATTTAGTATTTATTATCTGTAGGTACAAGATTTACTTTGCACCTGATGATCAAGTAGTTCGACAAGACCGGTTAGGATCCTAGATTTAGTGCAACTTAGTAGCTTGGTATGTTATCATACATGACTCAAAATAGAAGCTGGTGCCTATATCCTGTGTAGCTTTGTTTTACATACTACATAAAGTGCTGGGAGCTGCCTTAACTGGAAGAATTATTCCTGGTTCCATTTCCTGTTATATGCTATTGTTCTTTTCTTTTATTTCTTCATAATGTTTTCCTTTTATTTGTGTACCCCACAGCTTTTTCATTTTTTAGTTGTACCAAAATTCATGTTTATTGTTTATTGATTATTTTATTTCAATTTAACAGCTGATACTACATCAACAAATGAAATTGAACGATTTCATTGGATGCCTCGTGAACATATGGTTATATTAGTTTACCTTGTTACGGTGATGCAATCGATGCAAGCTGGAATGTTGGACAGAGCTAAACGATCAGCTGAAAAAGCATTAATACAAATTGAAAAACTATCTGTATTCGATACTAGTCCATTACTTACTGTATTCCATTTAAGTTTACTAGAACATACTGCTATGGGTCGTTTAGTAATGGGTGTGCAAACAGCAGCTGCACAAGATATTGGTCAAGCATATCGAATATGTCAAGCGAATCCAGCATTAATGTATAAACGTCTCCCACAGTTGCATACTTTAATTGGCTTGTATGCTATGTCAATGAATTGTATGAATCAAGCGGAAAATCAGTTTAAGTATGCTTTAAGAGTAAGTTGGATTGGGCTCTTTTATGTATTAAATATTTGTCCCCTACATTCGTCATAGATTGGTCTCAGTTGGGGTGCCACTAAAAATTATAGAGTGCTAGACAGCTGTTTCGTTCCCACCTGGGATTCTCCAGGAGCATGGGTCGAACCCAGAAATTATGAGTCTGAAGAGCACCCAACCATTAGAACCACTGAGTCAATATTCAATAATACAATTTCAACTTTAAACAACCTGATATATATTGACATACCTCTACATGTGTTTCTATATTCATGAGCGATTAGGTTTTTCTCGTATTCCATTTATGTCTCCTTTAGTTATTTTCTCAAGCACTAGAAATGGTTTGGTTTGTTTTATGTTTAACATTGATAACAGTGAATTCGTAGTGATTACTCCACGCGACGTTGACTACCAGACTGTGTTACTCAAAAGGTATTAATTCGTAGTAATAAACTACAAACTTATTCCTTATGCTATAACTTTTAACCGAACAGTCTACTGTGAACATTCTCCTGTCTAAAGCTGACCACGATCTAATTTCTATATCTTTTAAGTGTAGTTTTTACTAAAATCAGGTATCATGTAGACCTATATCGCTTTATAAATATCTTATAGATAGTGATAGATGTTTTGAACATATTGATATTGAACTTTTACCTTGATGAGCATGTGTATGACTAGATTGTTCTAAATATGTAGCACAAATACATTCCACTTTCCTCATCACCTCCAACATCTCACTACACTAACGAAATTTATCTTTTTTTATTAAGCTACTTACGAGTAGTAGAAATGGTTCAATAGATAAAACTCAGTGTTTTCATTTTTAAATTCATTGATACTGCCCGGGTGCCCAAACCGAAGCAGGTGGTTTTCTTCGACCTGAAGATCTGATCCACAAGTCAGTGGAGCATCGTAAGGAAATGCAGTCTCGTGGTAGCCGGTGACCAACGATTGGTTCATACGCCATTTGTTCCTTCAGGGTACTGGAGCCCATGTGCACCATTGGTTTGGGGTCCGGTTAAAGCGCCGGACATTCACTTTTCGTCCTCTCATTTTTGTAAACAACACCCCCGCCACGAGAAGGCAGTGAGTAGGACTTCCCCGGCAGAGGCTATATACGCATGGCCATGTGAGAGCATTTCGAGAGGGAGAGCTGACTCTCCCCACTCTCGGCCGTACCAGGGCATTTTGGGGCTCCCTCAGGGTTCTGGGGTCCATGTACACCATTGGTTTGGAATCGGGTTTTCCAACACCCCTACGCGGACTCTCCATGTCCACCAACCCGGTTAAAGTGCCGGACCTTCGGAATTGAAACTTAAAGCAATAAAATCAAACAACTATATAGTGCTTGATAATTTCAAATGTTTTTCTAGCTCAAATAAGTCAATGATGTATTCTCCAAATCACTAATCCATTTTAAGTATTATTGTAACTTGATTTTTCTACTTGATCAATCACATGAGTATGAGGTCAAAATTACACTTTATACTAGACAAAATTGTATTATTGACAAGGAATTTTATATATTTATTGTTTTATGTCTTGTTTTGAAGGCTGCGTAACTATTCGTAAGCTATTAGTATTTGACCACAGATGTCTTAGAAATATTAATCGCATCTGCTGGGATCCTCGGGTAATTAATAGTGAGGTTAGACGCAGGGTATTAGGGAATGATAATGGTAAATCAGTTGATAAGATTGTAAATCTTCATCGACTGAGATGGTTGGGCCACGTGTTATTACATATGCCTGAACACTGATTAACACGACGCTCAATGTTGACTAGTGTTTTGGGGGTGGTTGGAAGAAAGTTAGGGGGTAGCCAAACCAAAATGTGGGATCAGTCCACAAAGTCACTAAATTCTAGTGTGAGCCATGTTGGTAGATGCAAACTACTTGGTTGGGGTCCGTGTGACTATCATTATCATTATTATTATTATTATTTCCAAGTTTTCTGTTTTAAAATTTCTAATGTTCTATGTGATAGTAATTTTAATTTTTCTTTTAATAATATTTAGCTTATTGCTGGACCTCAACAAGTTACAGGATGTCGAACAACTAATTCAAATGATAAAAATCTTTTAAGTTTAACAAATTCTACCAGAGCATCATGTCAACCAGATGGACCACGTGATTCTTTGTCAGTATTAATTTGTCTTAATTTAGCTTTAGTACATATTCGGAAAGGTAATACAGTTGAATGTGAAGTAAGTGTATATTTCATTTATTTCAATCATAATTATAATGAAATCTTTTATGTTATAAGGTTTAATCTTAACAAAGAAATTGTTTAATTGTATGTGTATAGAAAGTTCGTAACTAATGTAAAATTGTCATCCCCTACATTTTCATTAAAAAAAAAACAACATATTTCATAATTAGATTTATTTATTTTACACTTGTTAATCAGTCTGGTTCTGGTACGACCGAGAATGGGGAGAGTCCACCCTCTTTCTCGAAATGATCTCACATATCCACGTGCATACAACCACTGCCAGGGAATTCCTACTCACTGCCTTCTCACGTCACGGGTGTTGTTTACGAAATTGAGAGAATAAAAAGCGAATGTCCGGTGCTTTAACCCGGTTGCTGGGCACGGAGGATCCATTTAGGGGAGTTGGAAAATCCTGATTCAAAATCATTGGTGCGCATGGGCTCCAGGATTCTAAAGGAACAAATGGTGTATTGACCAATCGTTGGCCACCGGTTACCATGGGACTGCATCTCCTGACGTTGCCTCACTGTCTTGTGGATCAAACGGTTAGGTCAAAGACTCTGGGTGTGGCCCCCTAAGAAAACGGCCTGCTTTAGTTTGGGCACCCCGGCAATATCCCAACCCTCACATAAATCGAATGATTTATGTGCTGCATATCTATTTGATACTTCCTTATACCAACAAACAAATAAATCTGATACTTTGTCATCTCACTTGTTATGATGTAGAAAGATTTAATAAAATACATTAATAAATAATCAGTTTTCCACTAGTTTAACGCTTATTTCTATGTAGACTAAATTTACCCTAATAAATCAATTGATGCAATTGTCAACGTAGATTGATTTATGTATGTGTGTGTGTGTGTGACTAGTATTTGTTAATGGAATATAAAAGTGGATTAAATTATGGCTAGTAGCAACTAAACAAATCATGAAGTTATTATTCATTTTGGGTTATATTCGTATATGAAAACTTCAAGTTTAAACCTTAATTGTAGTCTGTGTTTGGAGACAAGTTGTCATTGTTCGTTAACACTCTTTAAATACTGAATTAAGTGTTATATTTATTGTTATTATTATTTATTTTAACACATAGATATTGGTACAAGGAGGCACCAAATATATATGCGCCACACAGATCTCAATTGATTTGTGTGAGGACTGTGATACTGCCCGGGTGCCCAAACCGAAGCAGGTAGTTTTCTTAGGGGGCCATACCCCGAGCCTTCGACCTGAACGTCTGATCCATAAGGCAGTGGAGCATCGTAAGGAGATGCAGTCCCATGGTAGTCGGTGACCAACGATTGGTTCATACACCATTTGTTCCCGCAGGATACTGGAGCTAGCCCATGTGCACCATTGATTTGGGATCCGGTTATAGCCGGCGCCGTACATTCACTTTTTGTCCTCTCATTTTCGTAAACAACACCCGTGTTGCGAGAATGCAGTGAGTGCGACTTCCCTGACAGAGGCTATATACGCATGGCCATGTGAGAGCATTTGTAGAGGGAGAGCGGACTCTCTCCTCACTCTCAGCCGTACCAGGGCATGTCAAATGACCATTGTTCTATATAATTTATTTTTATGTTTAGCTCTCTGACTGAAGTTTATTATTATCTGCTCTTCTTGTTATGTTTTTTTCTTTCACTATGCTATTATGTGGTGTAGCACATATTGAACCAATGGACCTATTTGTCAGGTTTTAGATTTTTTATAACTAACTAACTAACCGACTGACTATATCATTAAATAATTACAATGCCACGAAAAATGTATTGGTTTGAAGTCATCTGTACGGCATGTGTCTTTAGCATGATATCTGTAAGCTGATGTTCATCAACCCATGACTAGACGATTGGTATCGAATCCCTATTGCTTCCTATCTATTATTCACTACTTGTATATTTAAAGTGATTATTTATATACACATCTTTTATGATTATTATTGTAATTAATGTATTATTATCCTAAGTTTTAACAAAGTGTAGATAGAAAGCTTTATTGACAAAATCTGGATAAGTATGTGCATATTTTTTTCCTGGAAATTCCATATTGTACTGAGCTTTTAGTATTGAATAATGCGATTATTTGATAGTATTATTATTAAGTTATACGTATGAACCGATCCTTATAGAGATCTGTGGATGGAGACTGTAGCTTGATGTATAATTGTATTAGTAGTTCCCACGATTGTCCAGTTCGTACTCTGTAGTAGTCACAAACACTACTATTCAAATCTGAGATCACTAAGGACACCCGAAGGTATTGTATTTTTCAATTCAAATTATCTATGGAATAATGTATAATGGAATTATTAATTAGCAAAAACACCACAGTCATCTTGATCATACGTGCATTTCTCAATTACTATGTGTCCTTGCGATATTATGTGATCTATTAGGCTTTATTTCACTTGAGATACATTGATCCAGGTGGAAAACATTTCATACTGGATCTTAACTTTTAATTGTCACATGTTAGAGGTAAGACTACATTCTGCAAACCCAATCTAAGTGCTAACAGCTCATAGTAATGATAGCTTATTGTGATATATGTAAGATTCCATCTTATGCATCATTTTTTCGTCTGCTTCCTTCAATATCTAAGTAGGAACATAATCTTCACCAAGTGGTTAGTTGGAAATAATCATCGATATATATGATTTACTCCCATCATTCATACTGTCAGACGATTAGTTGGGCACTTAAAGCTAAACGATTTCTGGTCCCAATTGGCCTCGGTACCAAAAATGTATAACTATGTCTTTGAGTTCAATTGTTTTGTATGTGTAATGGTTATTATCAGTGAAATGATTTGTCAGTCATTTATAAAGGATCCTATCAACTGCTTTGATTTCTCATTAATTATTATTATTTTTAACTTATAGGCATTGTTAAATGAAGTATTTTCATGTGGTATCCATGTACTTGAAGGTTGTTGTTGTCTTCGTGCTGCTGCAGATTATGTACGAGCATTTCAAGCATTTTATGAAAATCGATTAACAGATGCAAAATTATTTTTACGTGAAACTGTACGATTAGGGAATGAAGAAGAATTGCATCGTTTATCAGCTTCAGCTTTTATTACTATGGGTCAAATTCATTTAAATGAACAAAATACAGCTGTAAGTATAGATATGTGAAATAATAAATTCACAGTGATATAATATTATGTATATTAAATAGCAATTTATTATCAGAAGGGGTTTTGTGGAGATTTTAGTAATTTCAATAGTTGAAATCATAAGTCAATTGAAGCTAGACCAGCATGAAAAATCTGAAAGTACTCAGACGTTCATTTCGTCCTATTGTGGGACTCCTCAGCAGTGTGCATCCATGATCCCACCCCACGAGATTCGAATCCAAGACCAATCAGTCTCGTGCGCGAACACTTAAGCTTCAGAGTACAAAGTAGGCATCCAATAGTGTTAATGTCTAACTTCAACCAATCCATGAATTTGTGCCACTGTCCACCACTTCTCAGGTGCTTCTAGGTTCAATTGACTCATAAATCCAAATTATGTAATATGGCTTAATTGTTATTTTTTTAATAAATACCGTGTACACGTCATGGTTTTATTGGTAAGACACTTGATATTATCTGTTTAGTTTAAAAAGAGTTAGACAATTTTCGATATTTTCAAATTTACCATAAGTCAACTTTGTACTTTCAACTGGACAAAAAATTTCACATAAAAGAACTTCTTTATGGATAGCTCAGTGGGGTAACATCTAGTTATGACATTACATTTTTTAGTGTTTTCAAGATTTCTCCCTTTGAGCTAATTTTCTTTTGTAGTTTGTACCATGGACTAACTTACGAGAGAACACATGAGTTGTTTCATCTTAATGTTAGGCTTTTTAACAGCGCTCCTCACCCATGATCTTCATGGGAATCGAAAACTGGATATTTAGACGTCGATGTGTGTTATTTTTAAACTACTGAGTTGATGATATTAGGTAGTTCAGCATGTTTTTGGTACTGGATAACTATCATCTACTACTTTTCATGATATATCTGTCTCACATGTTAGATTGTTAAACTCTACCTTTCACAGTTGAAAAGTTTAAACGTTGAACCCTGGTGCTCTTTGATTTTCTATGTTTTTATCGCCATGATTAAATTTGTCATGTTAAGTATAAATGAGACGTTATTCACTGTCCTCATATGCTAATAATTTACTTTTATGAACTTTTTATTTATTCAATTTTAGGAAGGACATAAAATGATTAGTGCAGCTATTCATATAGCTAATCGTTTACCTGATATAGGAATACAATTATGGGCAACTGCTTTACTTAAAGGTGTTGCTAATCTACGTGGTGATACACAAGAAGAAACTCGTTGGTTTACTGAACATGATCGTTTTTCAAAAATTGTAATACATGAACATATGCGTGCTATTTCCGCTCCAGAACATTCACTTATTGAGGTAAATTATTTTTATCTAGTTTATTTGTTTAATTAGCCTTCAAATGCCTTGGTATGGCCGAGAGTGGGGAGAGTTCACTCACCCTCTCGAAATGCTCTCATATGGCCACGCGTATATAGCCTCTGTCAGGGAATTCTTACTCACTGCGTTCTCGCAACATGGGTGTTGTTTACGAAATTGAGAGGACAATAAGCGAATGTCCGGTACGGAAACCTGGCTGGTGGACATGGAGAGTTCACCTAGGGGAGTTGAAAAACCCTGATTCTAAATCAATGGTGCACATGAGCTAGCTCCAGTATCCTGAGGGAACAAATGGCGTATGAACCAATCGTTGATCACCGGCTACCATGGCACTGCATTTCCTCACGTCGCTCTACTGCCTTGTGGATCAGACCTTTAGGTCGAAGGTAGAAGAAAACCACCTGCTTCGGTTTGGGCACCCGTTCAGTATCACAGCCCTCACACATATCAAATGAGATTTGTGTGGCGCATATGTATTTGGTGTCTCCTTGTACCAATATCTACGTGTTCAAATAAATAAAATAAATAAATTTGTTTAATTAAATATGAATTAGGGTAGATAAATTTGAATGACTCCTGAAAAATAACCTCGAAATAATTTTGTTTGTTTTCAATTAATCAGAAAGCAGTTTATAATAATAAATTTGTCATGATTAATAAGGGGTCGTTATATATTGAAATTAAAGTGAGGTCTGATAGAGGGACTTATCCATATGACTTCATGTTAATCAACTTTGTAGACAGTGAATCCAAATCTTGACTAATAACGTACAACCGTCAGCATCTCTCACTTATCACTTGACTTATACCTGATTGACCTTTTATTTATTTATTTTAACACAGATATTGGTACACGAAGGCACCAAATACATATGCGCCACACAGATCTCAACTGATTTGTGTAAGGACTGTGTTACTACCCGGGTGCCCAAACCGAAGCAGGTGGTTTTCTTAGGGGGCCATACCCCGAGCCTTCGACCTGAACGTCTGATCCATAAGGCAGTGGAGCATCGTAAGGAGATGCAGTCCCATGATAGCCGGTGACCAACGATTGATTCATACTCCTTTTGTTCCTTCAGGATACTGGAGCTAGCCCATGTGCATCATTGATTTGGGATCCGGTTATAGCCGGTGCCGGACATTCGCTTTTCGTCCTCTCATTTTCGTAAACAATACTCGTGTTGCGAGAAGGCAGTGAGTAGGACTTCGCTGACAGAGGCTATATACGCATGGCCATGTGAGAGCGTTTGTAGAGGGAGAGCGAACTCTCGCCACTCTTGGCTGTAGCAGTGCATTCGGGGACTTTTTTCGAAATAAGGTGGCATCTAATCCGATAATTCTATATTCCTTCTTCAATTATCCTCCACGGTCTTGATATTGTTGTATTAAACGCAATTGATTTTTTCTCATACTTTAGGCTTACTATTTTTACACTATTTTCAAAGTAACAATTAGTTGATATCCAATTTTCAGTATCACAGCCTTCACACATATCAAATGAGATTTGTTTGGCGCATATGTCTCTGGTGCCTCCTTGTACCAATATCTGTGTGTTCGAGTAAATATCTAAATAAATAAATTGTCTAAATTAATGAGCTGAAACTACAGTATATTTCACTTGGTATTGTTTGCTTGTATCTTCCCAGTGGACGTCAACTCTGAGATGCCGGTACATTCATCTGATGAGTCCCAAATAGGACGAAACGCATGTCTTGTATTTCACTGCTAGCCACTATCCATCTTTACTTATACAATATATCTTTTCGTATTTTTTATATATATTTTACAATTTATTCATTTAATCTTAATTTGTATTGTACTTTTTTAAAAAAATATTTAGTGGTTAGATGGACCATTACCTGAACTTCAACCACCGCATACAGTTGCATCGACTTCAGATACCAATTTAATATAATTCATTGTTTCTATTCATAGAAATAACTGATCTCCTTATATAAAAATAGTATTATCATTTTTGTTTGTTTGTTCGTTTGATAATACTATTCCATTCTATTCATTCTCCATGTTTATTATTCGCTTTTCTTCTCTCTCCTCCCCTCTCTCTCCCCCTCTCTCTCCCTCTCCCTCCCTCCCAAATTACATCGAAATAAGTATAGTTCCTAAATAGAATTCAGTCAATATTCAATTAAATTTATGATTTATATCTCACATATTTTGTATTTATTATTCATTTACTACTAATTATTATTAGTAATCATAATCAGAATTTTCTATCCTTGTACAAAGAAAAATAAACAAACAAACAAACATACAGAACAAATGAACATTTGAATTGTTTTTATCTTGACAATAATTTCTCTTTTGTCACTTAGCAACAAGAATAAAAACAACAATAACAATTGTAATTATATGATCATGATGTAATAAAATAAATAAGTCATTCATTTTTTTTCTTGTATTTGTTTTAATTTGTTTTTGTTTTGTTTTAATGTATGATTTATATCCATTATGAAGGTTCTTTTGTTCCATTGAAAAGAAATAAATAAATAAATAAATAAATAAATAAAAAAGTATAATTTAAAGTGATCACTTTTCTTTTATTGATGGTTATGTCATACTGTAATGATGATTGAATTATTTAATTGTTTGTTTCGTTAATTCTCATCAGCTGCTTACAATCTGTGATACTTATATGAAAATGTTTGGTTGGAAGTTATATTGAAGACGTCCGAGAGTCCTCTCTCCCCCTTCGAAATCTCATATGGCCACGCGTATATAGCCTCTTTCAGGGAAGTCCTACTCACTGCCTTCTCGTGGCGGGGGTGTTGTTTACGAAAATGAGAGAACGAAAAGCGAATGTCCGGCACTTTAACCGGATCCCAAACCAATGGTGCACATGGGCTAGCTCCAGTATCCTGCGGGAACAAATGGCGTATGAACCAATCGTTGGTCACCGACTACCATGGGACTGCATTTCCTCACGATGCTCCACTTCCTTGTGGATCAGACCTTCAGATCGAAGGCTCCGGGTGTGGTCCCCTAAGAAAACCACCTGGTTCGGTTTGGGCATCCGGGCAGTATCACAGCCCTCACACATATCAAATGAGATTTGTGTGGCACATATGTATTTTGGTGCCTCCTTGTATCAATATCTATGTGTTAAAATAAATAAATAAATGAATATGTTGAAGATATATTCGTATAGTATAGCATGAGTGTAAATAAATTTAATAGACTGAATATTGTAAATATATATACCTTATATGATAAAAGAACATTTTACAACATTGATTTTGACAATAGTTCAAATGGCTAGAATCAAGTAAATATTGACAGGAATAAAACGAGTGGAGTTCAGTTGATAAAATAAGATTATTCATTTGGAAGATACTTGAAATAAAACTCAATGATGTAACAAATACAAGAAAGGGTTTAAAGAAGAAGATGCAACGGAGGAATATTTGTCACGAAGACAAGGAAAGACTAATAACTATCTCCTTTTGAACACATAAATCAGGTTTTTTGCTGCTGATAGCAACGGCTTCAGAAAACTGGAGTTTGGTTGTTTACTAATCACCTTAAATGATTGTAGGGTATCGACCTGATGTCCTGTATCAAGGAGATGTTTCGTGATTGCACTGTTTAGTCTTTCTTTCTCTTGTTCTGAGGCTTTTTGGAACATGTTCAAAAAATCTAAGATATGCCCTCTTTTCTGTTCAGTCAATGTAGCTGTTTTGGTAGGTACACGTAAATTTATAAATACAATTGGCGGTAACATAAAAAATATGCTTATCAACCTTTGATTGAGTTATTGAACATTTTGTTTTATACAGAATTAGAAGTTTGGCCACCGGATAAGTTCTGACTAGTGCAGTATTCAGTCTCTTGTTGATTGTGTTTGCAATATTGTTTTCTTTACGCTTTTTATATTTGTCAATAAACTTTTGTGGGTAAAAGTTATTTCGTAGGCATTTTTCCACGTTCATCAATTCTTCACCCAATTTCTCAGTGGTACATATCCTTTCTGCCCTATAAAATAGTGTTTTAACTAATGCCTTCTTGTAACTGAGTAGACAAAAACTATTGAAATTCAGGTAATGACCATTCCAAGTACTTTTTCGATAAACCGAACGTTGGACTGTCCCGTCTCTCCTACGTTTGTTAGCAACATCAAGAAAGTGGAACATGTCATTCTGTTCGTGTTCCACAGTAAATTGTATATTAGGATGAGCGTTATTGAAGAGTTTTAGCAGGCGGATTGCATGCTGTTTATTGTTACAGACAATAAACGCGTTATCAACATATCTAGAATGTTCCGTCATTTCGCTAATCGCTTGTCTAAACACCATGTTTTCAAGATACCCCATAAAAATATCTACCAGAATTGACCCTAGTGAACTTCCCATTGCTACGCCGTCGATTTGACGATACATGGTGTTATTAAACTGGAATTGAACATCTGTTGTGCACATTAATAGTACTTTTTTTTTAATTCCGGGGCTGGTAAAGGTAGGAGATCATAGTTCTGACAAATTATATCAATAATTTCAAGAAATGGTATATTGATGAATAAGGATGTTACATGAAAAGAAACCATGAACTTATCGGGAACATTCGTACGATTTAGTCTATCAGCAAACTGGAATGAATCTTTTGACGTATATGTTGCTAATCTCTGACGGACCGGTTCTAGTTTTTCTGTTAACCAGTGTGCAACTTTGTGATACGGTGAGTTAATCAATTGATAGGATAGGTCTAAGGGGAACTTTGTGTTTGCTAGAATGTTTATTCTTGCTCTTTGCAAAATGATAAAGGGAACTATTTGTATGTAATTGTTTGTGTTCATGTTTTAATCGTTTTTTTATTTTGATTTCATTATTCATATTTAAAGATTTATATTCATTTTTATGATTGGTTATGAAGTTAGTTCATTTTGATGAAGTTTTTCATTCTCTAAGTTGAATAGTTTGATCATGACGCTTCTGAATGATATTATTGGCATAAACTTTAGATAGAAGTGAAATGTTCGAATTTCTTCATACATATATCTGGTTTACAGGTTGTTCTGTAGACCTGTATGACGATTGGTTCTTATTGATTTTATATCTGTCATTGTTTACTTCTTTATTTTGGTTGTATCTGCCCCCAAATGCCCTGGTACGGCTGAGAGTGGGGAGAGAGTCCGCTCTCCCTCTCGAAATGCTCTCACATGGTCACGCGTATATAGCCTCTGTCAGGGAAGTCCTACTCACTGCCTTCTCGTGGCGAGGGTGTTGTTTACAAAAATGAGAGGACGAAAAGCGAATGTACGGCGCCGGCTATAACCGGATCCCAAATCAATGGTGCACATGGGCTAGCTCCAGTATCCTGCGGGAACAAATGGCGTATGAATCAATCGTTGGTCACCGACTACCATGGGACTGCATTTCCTTACGATGCTCCACTTCCTTGTGGATCAGACCTTCAGATCGAAGGCTCCGGGTGTGGTCCCCTAAGAAAACCACCTGGTTCGGTTTGGGCATCCGGGCAGTATCACAGCCCTCACACATATCAAATGAGATTTGTGTGGCACATATGTATTTTGGTGCCTCCTTGTATCAATATCTATGTGTTAAAATAAAAATAAATAATAAATAATTTGGTTGTATCTCCTATTGGTAAACAATTAATAAATAATGACAGATTTAATGTTAACAAGAACCAATCAACATCGAGGTCTAAAGGATAAGCTGTGAACATTTTACGTCTACCTGAAATTTTTGTCTGATAATGTTGTTCAAAAGAACAATGAAAGCTCCATGATGACCAAATCATCCAACTCAGTGAAAAAAACTCCATCAAAATTATCCACCTGAGCTATAGATCTTCACCATCTCAGAATCAGTCTAATCAGTAATTGAATAGCTTTTTGGTAGTCATGGTGAATAGGAATAGATAAAAAAGCTGGCTGGAGTAGACATCAGTTTGAGGTAATGGTCAACAACTGTTTACAATGATTAAAATGATTATAGTTATTATAAAGGCAATTATCAGCGACGATTATCACTGATGGGTGCAAGTTATTGATAAGTTGGTGGAATATATCAAGGAAGAGTTGAATTAGCACTTCACTGACTTATTTATTTGTAGAAGAATTCATGAAATCTTATTCGTTCGAAATTGATCATACGAAGTTATAGAATAAGATCCAAATGAATAGAGATCTAGTCAAGTATTTCAGTGATTTACGAAAAATGAAATCAATAGTTGGGAAACAAGAAAAAAGCCTGTTATGCTTCTACTGTAAAGTTCTAGGATCCCTATTCTCTTTACTATAATTTGTGTAACAACCTTTTATCTGCGCGCCAATTAATTTATTTATTTGAACACATAAATATTGATACAAAGGGACACCGAATACATATGCACCTCACAATTCACTTGATTTGTGTGTGGGATGTGATACTGTCCAAGTGCTGAGACCGAAATAGGTGGTTTGTTAGGGGGCCACACCCGGAGCCTTCGATTTGAAGGTCTAATCCACAAGGCAGTGGAGCAACGTCACAAGATGCAGTCGGTAAGCAATAATTTGTCTGTACTCCATTTGTTCCTTCAGGATCATGGAGCCCATGTATACCATTGGTTTGGAATTAGGATTTCTCAACTCCCGTAGGTGAGCCCTCCGTGCCCAGCAACCCGGTTAAAGCGCCTGATATTTGCTTTTCGTCCTCCTAATTTTGTAAACAACACCTGTACAGGAAGGAAGTGAGTAGAACTTCTCTGGCAGTGGTTGTATGCACGTGGCCATGTGAGAGCGTTTGGAGAGGGAGGGCTGACTCTCCCTATCCTCGACCGTACCGGGGCATTTGTAGGCAGTTCGAACTTGATCTCAACTCAAATATTACTGATTGATTTCGTATATTCATAAAATTCAGAAGTTAATATCAAATATACAATTAGTAATCCTAAATAGAACTCATTATTTATTTATTTGAACACAAATATTTCTACAAGAAGGCTCCAAATATATATGCGCCACACAAAACAATGAGAATCGGAAGAGAAAGAAAATAAGGGGTAAGAAGCGTAAAGGAAAAGAAAAGAAGAACAATAACGACCGGATTAGTGTAAAATAATGTAATAATAATAATAATAATAATAATAATAATAATGCGGGAAACGGAAAGGTTTAACCAGAAGCATTCTTTCAGTTAAGGAAGATACAACCCCTTTTTATGAAGAAAGTAAAAGAAGGTTACATCAGGATCGTCACTGGAGACAGCGATGATCGAACACAGAGAGTCGTCTAACATCCTCAACTCGGAGAGGCCAGGTTTCACAAGCATAGAGCATAACTACTCTCACCGACGCGTTGTAGATCCGACCTTTTACAGCCATACTGACATCACGAAGCCACCAAAGATGGCCCAGATCGGCATAAGCCGATCTGGCTTTCACTATACGTGCATTAACCTCATCACTCACGCCACCACTAGCACATATGCAGCTACCTAGATACGAACTTCTCAAATAGTGCTATCTGTTCACCATCCAGAGTGAGTACATGATTAGTATCCTGCTAGTCTTG